TATATATGTTCCAACCTCCTTGATTCACTACCGTATCTGGCCAAGCTTATGTGGGCTGCGAACAAAATCAAGCGAAGAAGTGGGGGAATCTGATGGGCAACATGGAGGTCGTATTTGCAACTCAAGCTCGCCCCAGCTGTGCGTTCGTCGAGAATTGTACAGGTTCAGAGATACACATGCATACACAGAAAAAGGCTAGGCGAAGAACAGATGGAAGGACCACTGTTCGCGTTACCTGCAGGTTGGTGGCGTCAATGGTGTATCCCTTCTGCAGCAGGTAGTCCACCACGTCCACGTGGCCGTACGCGGCCGCCAGGAAGATGGGCGAGAGGCCCTTGTCGTTGCGGGTCTGCGCTCGCGCGCCCTTCTTTATCAGCAGCGCCACCACCTCACGGCGGCAACAAATGGAAATCACTGTCATACGAGGGTTGCCTTTTATATTTCAGGATTAGAGAACAAAAACAAATATTAATCATCGAAAATCACTTTATTGCTTTTCAAAATAGTCCCCATGAAGATCTATACACTTTTATGCGTTTGAACCAATTGTCGAAGCTGTTCACGATTTAATTCCATTCTTGGGCCAAGATGAATCTTTTAAGTTACTGTGAACAACACGAATAGCGCTCGTATGTCAAAACGTTCTGAGTACGTATAACCTTGAAACACCCAACTTTACGATAGAGCTGTCAGTTGCCAGATTGCAACACCAGGGTTGCCAAATCCCGAAACATAAAAATCAACCTTCCTATTTTACGGCAGCAACGATCGCTAGTTAAAGGACCGCTCAATTTTTGTAGATCATAGATTTTAACTCTTATTTTTTCTATTACTGGTGGCTGTTCCCAAATCAAACCATATCGCCAATGCATAATTTCATTCATCATTCGTGAGAAGGAGAATAAGATGAGACCGTTTCATCATAGAAAACGAAATATTATTTTAGGACGGATGTAATTCTACATGGTGGCCCAGTCCTTATTGAGTAAGATAATGAAGTGATAATACTGATTATTGGAATAGAAAGGAGTGGACTGGAACAGTCCATGGTTCGTTGCATAAACTGATCTGCTAAAACCCTTATCAAAGAGCAATATATCATGAACTCGTACGATTGGAGAAATTACATTTAAATTGTTGGTTTATAAACGTGACAGGTCTTTTGGTTTCACGTCTCACAGAAATACCCTAAGTCTAAGGCTGCATTCATAAGGGTCCACTCTGTGGCGCCACCGAAAAGAGCCAAGCTCCTTCATACACAGCCACAGCCGCCGCCGAGCGTCACTGACCGCGAGAGAGGGAGAATTTGGTAGCCGCACTGCTGTAGGCTTCGGCGGCCGCAAGGCCGGAAGGTTAACAGTAGATCAATAGGTAAAAACAGCTTCAGCCACGCGTCCGCGAGGGTTAGTGCGAAAGCTGACATTATTAACTTCTGCTGTCTATGTCGCAGGATCGATTCTCCGCTACTGGTGGCTAGAGTTCACCCTTCAGCGCCATAGCACCGTAACAACACCGCGTTCCTTTTAAACCAATGCTTTACCAGCAGACTCGCCACTCGGTAGCGCATTGTGTCTGCCCGCTGTGAAACGGGGAGGGTTTGGCGCAGATAGGTTTCACCGACACTTCAACGACGACGAACAGAGAATTGCAGGAAATAAAGCACCGCGACGAGTTTTCCCAGTGGGAAGTCCTCCATTAAAACAAATGATTTGCTAGTCGTGTAACGGAATCCCTCCCGGACTGCTCGTGGCGATGGTCTGCCGCCGAAAGACACAGCAGCAAGATGGAAGACCTTTTAAACCAATGCTTTGCTAGCATCCGCGGTGTTCGGAAGCGCGCTGCAGTGTCTACTTGTGAAGCAGCTCTAAATTGTAGTGTTTACATCAGACGCGTCAATGAACCGTTTTTTGTCTGCTGCTTGCCTTTCGGCCGCCAACAGCGGTGTAACTCAGGAAACCTTCCTCTCTCTCGGTCGGCGGTCGTTGGCGGTGGCTGTGGTGGAAGTGCTCTGCCATTTCCCGGCGGCGCCACCCAGTGGCGCAGTGTGAAGGGACCCTAGCTCGCGAGATGACTGCATGTCGCTCGTGAGTTGGTGCGCAACAACTGGCATGCCTACATCCGTGTGGCCGCCCTGCGCCGCCAGCGCCAGCGCCGTGCCGCCGTCCACGTCCACCGCGTCCACCGGCGCCCCCGCCTCCAGCAGCCGCTGCGCCACCTGACGCACACAGCGGCGTTACGAAGTCCTGTAGCGGACATGGCAGCGCCGCAAGCAACGTGAAACAGATTGCACCGCTGTGCTTGGCAATAATAATAATTCGGGGAATAGATTATTTTGTGTTTCCGAGCATGTCAACTAGTACTCGTGGTTATTCGAATGTTCTTCGTAGTCCTGCTGTCACCTCGTCGTTAACTGATCAGTGATTGAGGGGGCGTTAACTGGTACGGTCATTGTTTCAGTAAGTGTAGCGCATGCTTTTTTTTTATTGCGGGAGATTGCGATGATCTTCCCCCGACCCACCAATCGGTTTGCGAGTTCATCCCTGCCTAGGTATCTCCCACCAGCGGCGAAGCGCCTCAGGCGGCACAAGCTTTAAGTTCCCGACTGGTCTCTAGGCGTGTGTCGTAGTAAGTATGTGTAAGTAAGGGGTGAAAATAGGACAAGGAAGAGGAGGGAAATATCGCGTGCGGTCCGTGGCCCGTTTGTTAAGGTACTGCTCTCTGGTATTGATGGGAGAAATCAGGGAAAACTACCAACCAAAGCAGCCGGCCTCTCTCGTACGCATAGGCTGTCGCGGGATCACGATTTCCGTAGATTCATAGCACCCGCGCGCGGCCGCGCAGTGCAGCGGCGTGCGCAGTCGGTCGCCGGGCGCGTGAGTGCCCGCTGTCACTGAGAAGTCCTAGGGTTCGAGTCCCGACTGCGGTACACTTTTCCACACTAACAACACAGCCGCTGTCTGGAGGAGAATACCTGCAGCCGGGTGTTCTTTTCGGTAGTCATACGTGTTTTTTCTGATCAACACCAGACGAATGTCGAAGCAGTTCCTTATTAAACGGGTCGCGGACCACACGCGATCTTTTCTTCCCCTTCCTACCCTCACCGCTTACTTACACACACACTAACATGGACCACACTACCACACATTCCGGTACGCAGGTGGGGAGATTAGGGCGTGTTTGGGCTGAGGCGGTGACCCGGTGGTGGGAGATATCGCTAACCCATGGTAGGTCGACGCCAATCTCACGATCCAGCGGGGAAGATCACCGCGACCTTCAAAGGAAAAGTACTGCACTACACGTATGACCTTAGCAGGTGACGCGCCCGGAATCACTAACAATCAACCCAACTTGAATTTATTGGGGTCGAATTGAATTGAATTGATGCCTTATTTTACGTGGCGTGTCTCGGGCCATCAAGCAGGCTCTTCCTTCTCACCACGCAAATTTCGCTACGCCCCCTTTCACCAACTAGCGGAGAA